GGGGGATCAAGCTGTGATAAGGGTCAAATCAGGAGTGACTAAAAAGAACGTGTTCACACAGGGTAGAAAAGGGGTAATTGGGAGGGGGAAACAACAGTGGTTACGCCTCGAACCGAGGAGAGGGATTTTCTTCATGGCTGGTTTCTACATCCGAAATGTGTTTTGTTATGACTAGGTCCAAGATGGACAACCTCTGTTGATCCCCGAGTCTCGTGGCCTGCGTAACGTTTTCTGTTAGGGCATGTGTATATCCAATTTAGTAGAGTTTCACTTGTGGACCCACTCGCTTCCATCCAGTCGATCTCTGGGAGGTTGAAGTCTCCAACTATTAGAACCCCTTGGGACTGCGAAAGAAACAATTGCATAACCTTAAGTTACTCAGTGTCCTCTATCGATATTGTTTGCGGTGCTCTGTACACACACAATATACTTAGTGGAGCACTCTTTCGCCAAAGAAACACAATGACTACATATCTCTTTTTCAGAGATGGATATTTCCCGTGAAGCAAATAATCCCGCTTGGATAATTTGCAACATCTTTGGTGGTACCATGCCTTGCGTCCAACGCACTGGATACCACTTCCAATCTGTTCCTGACACTGACTGATACCACAGTGGTCACGCCCGTGTATCATTTTAGGAATGCATATAAAATGAAATCATAAAGGAAGAAAAGGGACACGTAACTGTAGAGGAAAAAGTAACAAACGGATAACCAGTAAAACTTCTAAATAGCAAAACGTTTTCTCAATGAATAGTCAAAACCGGTCAGAGTTCATTACTATGAAATATCTTGCGATATTTCCCAGATAAAACAAAAGCCGGTAAAAATAGGTGACTATAATGTGAAATATCCCAAGATATTTCACTTTAACTTGGCAAAAGATTCAAACCCAATAGCACTTTATAAATTCAAACCGCGCGCGGGGTACGTACCGATTCAGGTGCCGATGTTGATGGAAAATGCCCACTTCTCCGCCCACTCGGATAAATGCTCCAAATCACCTTGTAAAACAGCCACATCTAGTGACGATTAATAATAATAATAACGGTATATTTCACGAGGCCCGTGAGGCATGCTGGTGCGCATGATCAAATGTACAACAATGTAAAAAATGACGGTTCAAACAGAGATTAATTGTAAAGAGGGTAACAACGTAATTTTCAAACGGGTATAAAAGACATTGTAACCATGCATTGCGATGAAAAAGAAACACAAAGCGGACAAGGTCATATAATGGAGTACTGAGGGTGATCTGTTAAGGCGATCACATCAATGTAAACGATTGTCTTATGAAGAACATTGGGGAAGACACAGAACTGGAGTTGAAAATATCCGCTCGGGAGATGATGCGCGGAAACTAGTTCGGAGAATAGAAGGAGGGTAGTGAACGTAAAAGCTTCAGAAGTTCACTGGAAGAGCTGCGGTCGAACCAATGAAAATGCAACGGAATACAGTAGGGCGACAAATGGATTAAAAATAAACTGTTTAAAGGATCGTTACAGATGGAGTGACTTTCTGAACAAGGAGTAAAGGGTTTCGGAGATTCACCGTTAACGGATGACTGGTTTATATTATTTATGGTATTCAGGCGTTGGTCGCTTTGATGTGGGACTGACTATACGCTAGACACCCAACCCTTAAACACCTTGTGGGTGAGGTATAGGGTGTGATCCTCAACCTGGTCCGGAATGCGGACGCATGTAGTCTAAACGGTGGATACAACGTCGCCCAACAACCTTTGCCGTGGTCACCATAGTTTCAGGTCGTCTACGCAAATGACGCATGGTGACTGTAGCCGGATGGGTAGATCGTAGATAAACAAAAGGAACAGAACGGGGCCCAGAACTGATCCTTGAGGGACTCCACTGAGAACCTGACGCCAAGTGCATATGGGATTGCAAATCTTCACCGCAAAAATTCGTTCACCTGAAGAATCCTCGACCACATTCGTCAAAAAACTGTAAAATGAGATATCACCTATTCAACACCGGACCCTCATGCTCATTACTGAAATCTAATTGTCTCTTAATTACCTGTGTCCTATTTGGTCTAATCTATCCTCATCTATAGTACACCTCTTCAGTTTAAAAACTCTGGAAGTGGAATTGACAACCCATGTGAATGTCTTCACTAACTGTAGCACCCAATTACCAAGCTAGACTAGAATTTTCGTTTTCCTCTTGCTGTATCTTTCCCTCTTCCCCTTCTCAGTTTGGTATCACCCCCCCAGACTGTCGAGTTTCACCCTTTTATTCCAGATTCGGTTGGTTTTGGCCTGTTGAAGGCTTGGAGTCTACACCCGCGATGGACAATTTGCCTCCAGCAATGGTTTTTGGGATCGGCTGTATCCACCGCTTTGACTAAATTCGTCCGCATTCAGGATCGGGTTGAGGAACGTACCCCCTGTCTNTAGATGCCTAGCGTGTAGTCAGTCCCACATCAAAGCGACCAACTCCTAAATAACCCAAGTCATCCATTATTGATCGAAGCCCCGAAACCTTCTAAAGTGTCCTCACAGAAGTCAACTGTGCCATACCGTATATTGAATACATTTAATTTGATAGAGGCTTTAACTCTGTTCTGTTTCATCCGATCCGTTCCTGCACCTGTTTCCATCTTTTCCTGTCCATTGGTCCGCCGACCGTCTCTCCTTATTTTACTCTTCGATCGTGCACGTCCAAACATTTCACCGTTTAACTGGTATAAAGATTCCTGGTTTGTTGTATTTCCGCTGACATGCTCTGTTAGAGCACTCCGCCATGCCCACCATTTTCTTCAGTGGCCTTGTCCGCCCTGTGTTCCATTTCTATTGCAGCGTTTAATCCAGTTCAGCTGTCCTCAGTAATCCCTACCCTCTACGCAGTAGTGCACTGCAACTCCTAAATCCCTTTTGCGCTTTTCTTGTACCTATGACTGTGTTGTAAAATTTGATCATGCTCATGAATGCTTCACGAGGCTTCGTGAAATATACCTTTATTATTATCATCTTCATTATTATTATCTTGTCGAGGGCTTCAGTGAAATCAACATACACAATATCCCTGACTGACCCACTGGTGTTGGCAAAATATTCCTCCCTGGCCAGTAGAAGGTTTCAGAGTCAGGATCTTTCCGGGAGAAAACCACGCTGTTCGTGGTATAGCAGTTGGCAATCCGTCACATGGCGATGCAATTTGCTATAGACTAGGCGTTTCATTACTTTATCAAGAAATACATGTCAAACTGACGGAACGATAATCTACCGGATATTTCCTTGAACCATTCCTAAACAGGGGCGTTATTAGTGCATCTTTCCTATCCTCTGGGAGTCGACCATATTTCAGGGAGATAATAAACAAGGCACAGAGGGGAGAATATATCACAACCGCGAGCACCCTCAAAACCCTGGGACGCACTCATCCAGGACCTGGGGATTGACTGGTGTTCAGGTTCTTTAGAGCCGCCTGCACTACAAGTGGGTTAAACTCCAAGACAGTCAACATGGGTGGGCAAACATTCTGAATGTGAAGACCTTCGGGCAAAGGCTCCTCTGGCTCATACACTGATGCACAGTGCCTTGCAAATATATCAGCCTGTTTGCCCGGGTCCTCCGTTAGCGCACCTTGGTCTACGAGTGGTGGTTAGGTGAATGAAACCCTGGTTCTTCTGCGCAGATAAGTAAAGTGCCTCCTGGGTGCGGTAGAAGCGGTGGCTGCCGGGTTGTCTTCGAATGCCACTCTTTTCCAACGTTTGGTTGAGGTGCACTGATTACGAATATCTTCGTAATAGTCATACACTAGACCGGTTTTCTGGAAGAACTTCCACGCTCTATTTCGTCTGTTCAGGAGGTTCCGAAGTTCGTGGTGAAACCATGGGGGACCACTGGCATACGTCCGAAATACCCGGGATGAGGACAACATCCTGACCAGGTGTTTGATATTGTTCTTGATTTGAACCCAACTGGTTTCGACATCGTCATCAATATCATCATCTGCTGNTTAGACGCACTGAGAAGCCACTCTCAGTTTCTCCAATAGTATCTTCCACACATTGGGACGATGCTGAGCGTCTTTCTTGATATGAAAATTTGTGCTCCAATAAATAATAATAGTCACTTGACCAAATGATTCGATAGGATTCAGTCGAAATATATCCCCCTTATTCAAGCTTCTCGGCAATATAATAAGGTCTAACACCTATGCCGAACTCCCCTGGATGCGCGTGGGATCTCGAATATGCTGATACAAGGAAAGGGATTCCAACAACTCACTTCTGAACGTACCTTCGCGATAACTACATACTCCGGCCTCCAAGTCAATGCTGGGAGCGTTCAAGTCTCCCAGCAGCAAGCAACGTACGCCTGTGTTCCACCGCCGGATACTATGCAGAATATCCTCGACATTGGCTGATGGTGTTCTGTACGTCAATCCGACTGACAAGTACCCAGCCCGCACCACCTTCACTTTGCACCACACAACCTAAGCATACACTTCAGGATCTGCATTCACTTGAAGGTAAACTGCAGGACAATCTTCCTGGGTGTAAAGGATCACACCACCAACGGGTCTCAAGACTGACATATCAGTACGGAACAACCTGTATCCTGAGAGTGGAATTTCTGCATCCGACACGTCGTGATGAAGCCACGTCTCTGTGGAGGCTATCATCACTGAGGAACGTTCGATAACCCACTCTTCCCCTTCATCCCGCTACTTGAGCATCCCCTTCCCATTGAAGAACGGGAAGGGAACCCCCTGGACACTGCTTGGAATTGTGACTACTGCAGCACCGTCGCCGAGAGTGGCAGGTTCGTTTGTTCCGATAGCACCGAAACAAGTGGCAGTCAGCGGATCAGCATCTTTTTCCTCACCAGCCGAAAATTTCTTATCTCGAGGTTACACTTACCATTAATCCTTCTGGTGTGGAGTTCCGTCAGTCCCGCTTTCAGTTGAATCCGCTCCTCTGGAGTGAGATCACGCAGCAATCTGACCTTTTCAGGCTCATTACACGTTGTAGGATGAGACAGACTTACTCAGCAGCGCCAAATACCACTTTCAGCGGTCTGGACCTTCTGGTTGCTGACAGTCGACCTAGTCGGAATGCGGATTTCACCCTGATGGAATTCGCTATGTCTCCTCAGAGGCGCCAAATACCTTCTGCAGACAGCCTCGCAAAAGTACTAGATCATGGTCAAGGCGTACCTGTGAAGAGCTATCCATTGATTCCGGTGGGTCAACCACGAAGATGCACTGGTCTCTGGATGACATATGTGGAAGACTTGCTGCAGTGCCATTTATCTGGGGGGAAGGTCCGGCTGCTACTGGCGTGTTCACTGTTCGAGGTCCGCTAGGTTCTCCGGTACTCTGGAAAATATTGCGTATCCTGCGACAAGTGGCCGGGGAAGACGTAGACATCGGTACCGAAAGCCCGGATTGTGGCTGGATAGTCTGGGCCGCTTATTACGTGTCATCACAGGATTTGGGGTGCAAATAACAACATCCGCGTAAGTCAATGGACTGATCGATTGCTGGATGTCGATGGACGGAGTAGCCTCTGGCAATGAGGCCACTAATCGAAAAGTTATTACTCGTAATCCAACATTTGTGGGACGCACGCCATAGCCACCGAATTTATTAACATGGAGCATTTGTCACAGATCTCTTTGAGAACATTCGCTTTACAGGGACTCAGTGAATCATACAGTTTGTGGTTGACCTGGGTACAGCATAGGTTCAACCAATAACCACATCCTTTGCACGGTAAAGCTTTTGTGCTAAGACCAACTCTTTTATTCTAAGTATCACATGGAGACATCCAAACACTATTGTAAGGAGCCGTAGTATGTCGGAAGTCCATACTAATGAGCACAGAATCACAGAAAAATAAGTTCAACGGTAACGCTCTTGAGACTTGCTGGTGTAGCTTGAACCTTTGTTGCACAGCGATTGCTTTTTCTCTAGCCTCCCCAAAACAGGTCAGTGAGAGTGGCCAAGCAGAGATTTAGACTTTAACAGTAGTGGCCGGACTTTGTTGGCCTAGCTCCTCGGCGAGAATCAACTTTTGGACGTGTAATCGTTATTTTGATCATTTTGTGGTGTTGAAACCCGGTAACTGCAGTTTTCAATAGTGTGAAGCGTTAGAATACTAAGGTTGCTGCTAAGAGGAGGACAAAAACGATTACAGTAGCAGATAGGAAGATCGTAAGTGATGATGCCTCTTAAGAGAGATGTTTTTTATCCGCAATAATCAATTATACGTACCAAACGGTGTAGCGCAATCTCCAATGGATCTTCAGGTGTTAAGGACAGTGGGACTTCCCTTAGTAGGCCTATCGCATTGTGCTCTGTTAGGCTGACTAGGAATTGAAACCAAACCAGTACTTCTGCAGGGCTCTGTCTAGTTTCAGTTTAAAGATACCATTTGGCTCCTCCACCACGTCCTCCGGAAGCGCATTCCGGAGATTTGTCACTCTCTTCGACAGCCGGTTGCTTAGCGGCAGATCGTTTAACTACATTAGTGTATGTCCCCTGATGCAGTTGTTTTTCCTCAGGGGGAATTCAAACTACAATTCTGAGCCAAAGTCACCCTGAATGATGCATCTTGTGTAGGTCAGGTTATCGCTTAGTCGTCCGTATGACATGAGAAACAATTCCCCGTTGGCCCTCGTAGCTGATTCTACGTAGTCCTTCGATGAGGCGTGTAGCAGCCCTTTGAACTCTATTCAATTGGGGAACCTCAGAAGCTGTACAAGGAAATACCGCCGGAATGCCATATTCCAATCGAGGGCATACGTGGAAGGAAAACATCAATTTCATGGCCGTCAGGGGTTAAAGACCAAACGAATGGCCGATAGCACCCAACATACTTCACGCAGAAGCACAAGCTTTATCTGTCTGTGCACGAGTTTTCAGGTTGCTGCTTACGACAACAGTTCACTCAGTTGACTGCCAGAGCACGTTACTTCTAAGAACGTAGCTGGTGGTGAGACCATATCCTCCTGTCCTCGTTTGGGTACGCTGGAAGATATTCACCGGTAACCCCAATACCCTCGACCAATTCACCAGTGCATTCAAACCATCCTGAAGAGACATCTGGTCTGCATCTGTTCTCAGAGCTTGCAGTCGTCTACATAGATTAAGACCGGGCTAATCAAAGTTGGTGGTATGTTGTTTGCAAAGATCAGGAACAGAAGTGAGCCAAGAACAGAGCCTTGTGGGTCCCCATTGATAACTATGTATCACGCAGATGGTACCTGTGAAACTGTCACTGATAAGAATCTCCCTTTCAGGAAATTCCCCAGACAGCAAAGTTCGGATCCTGTAACATCCAGAGCCCTGAGTTTAGTAAACAACCTATCAGTAGGTACTTTGTCGAACGCCTTGTTGAGGCCGACGAAGATAACGTCCGTACCGTTTCCCTCTACCGTTTGCCTCTAGACCAACATTCTTGAGCGAGCGAATCGATCATTCAGGAACGCCTCTTGCGGAATTCGTGTTGCTCCGTACGTATCCATTAGTGTTGCTCGAAATTAACGGAGCCTTAAATCAATTAATCAATAGAAGAAAGTTGGTGGAGAGTTGGTAACAACTACAGTTATATCGAAGTGGCTATATGCTAAGAAGGACCCAAGAATAGCTGAGCAAGGTGAACTATGAATAATTCGGTAATCTGGTAATTAGGGTATTAATTGGCTAAACAAAATCAATTAACAGTTGCATGTACTAAATTAAATAACAACAACCAAACTACCTGATTACAGGAGTAATGAACGAGTTTTCTCTTCAATATTCGAATAGGACAGGTCATTATCAACAACAAACAGTAGGAGCCACAGGCGGTAAATACATGCGTTCAAGCTTGACTCAGAGAGAAGGCAAGCAAGCCGCAACAGCCGTTTAGCATAGCAGCATGCAACGGTACACTGCGCCGGAAGTGGGGTTTCAAACGTCAGGGTTATATATATATATATATATATATACAAAAAGGAGAACAGGTCAAAGTCCCTCTGGGGGACAGTGGCTAACTGATTGAGCGTTCGTGTCTTCTGTACATTGGTCGATAGCACACAGCGGATTACCTGAAACAGAAAGAAAATCGGGTATTAGCACAAGTAGGTCATCACACAGCTTCCTTTACTGAAAGGGCTGCCCAAGCCATTCTACAGGTAGCTCTACTTCTTCAGCTGAAGGTGACGTTCCTTTGCGTCTAATCGGAAGAGGAGTGGCGGTCGTGCGACGTTGGCTTTAGGCGGTTGGGGTGCACCATCTAGTTGTCACTTCGGATCTCCGCCTCTTATTCACGTGGTTGAGGGTGGGGTTGAGGACTTCAATTTCTATGAACGGCCCTTTCCACTCGTGTTTCAGTTTTGACGGCATGCCAGGTGATCGTGTTTTTGATTTCAGCCACATTTGTTCTCCTGGTTGCTCCGGCAAACCGTAGGCCTTCTTGTCGTTAAACCCTTTTTGGTCGTGTAGTGTTGTTCTCAGATATTGCAGTTCGAGTTGATGACTCATTAGTAGCATTCGTTGAAATCTGGTTACGTAGTTTGTGGTAACAAGAGCTGATTCCTGGGGTTGATGTATTGTAAGGTCCAGTTGTAGCCTCAGTTCCCTGACTGTGACTAAGAAATGGAGTGACTGGCCGATGGACGTTTCCACTGAGACTCGATATGCAAGTAAGCACGACGCTCCCGTCGTCGCGGCGTCCCAGTTTCTCGCATTTTGTCGACTCACAAATGCCCTCCACAACCCTTCCAGCGTGCGGTTTGTTTTCTCGACCAGCTGATTGTATAAAAGAGAGCCCCAACGTTATACCGACACGTTGAGGATGGTCTACGCGGCTGTGGACGAATCCTTTCGAGATAGCGTTCGTCTTCGTACCATTTGGTGAAGTAATCGACCGTCACCAATATGTAACGATTTCCTTTAACCGTTTCTGGTGGAGGCCCCATGATGTCGATTCCCAGTCGTTCATCCGGATAGCCCGCCGGCATTGGGGTCATTGGTGTTTTGTTGGACGTCCATGGCGACTTCATCTGTAAACACAACTGACATGAGCTATAGAAGTTCACGACGTCTCGTACTTGATGGGGTTACCAAAATCTTTGTCGTACGGTAGCAAGCATTTTTCTCCGTCCCATACGCCCGAGCTCTTAGTGTATTTCGGCGATTACTTGGTGTATCTCTACCTGAGGAACTACGATTCTTTTAGTGTACATCGGCCTATAGTGGAAATACATGACTCCATCTAGTACAGAGAGATGTGTCCACAGGCTCCAGGTGCACATTGTTTCCAGCTGCTCCCGGCAATTTCTTCTCGCATTGATCTTTTATCCGACTTGGACAATCGTTGACATAAAAGTTTGAGTGTCGCATCCTACGCCTGGTGTTTTGCCATGATGAGTTACGTGCCGCTGAAAGTGAAATAACCGCCACAAAAGCTGGTGTGCTTGAGGGCACCGGCCTTGCATTTGGCAGGGTTTTCGGGATAGGGCACCTGCGTTTCGATGACAGATCCCTGGGCGGTGCACACACTAAACATTGTACCCTGGTAGCCTTTCCTGNNNNATCGCGCCACCTGGACCGTTGCTTCCTTGAAGTTCTGCAGCCGAATGAGTGCTTAGTGGTCTGTTTGTACTCTAAATTCATTTCAGAGCAGGCAATGGTGAAATTGGTACAGGAAGGAAACTAAAGTCAGCATCTCCTTTCTTCTGGTGCAATAACTCTTTCCAAGTTCATTCAAACACCTACCGCAATTCCTTGTTCTACGCCACCATGATTTTGTGACAGAATCGCTCTAATTCCCACGCCACTAGCATCAGTATCCAGGATTAACGGTTCCACAGTTTATGAGAGGTCTGGACTGGCTAGGACGGGCGTTACTGTAAGAGCCATCTTCATTGCCTCAAACACCGTATCACACTCCTCGGACCGTTTAGTTTTGTGCCATTTTTCAGTCAAGTGGTATAATGACGCATTAGTTTTGTGAATTCACGGAAGAAACGGCGATAATATGAGACTAAACTCAGAAAACTTCAAACCTCTTCAATACTGTTTGCCGTCGATCAGATCAATTTATGGTTAAATTTCTGGGAGTCTGTATGCACTCCTCCCAGAACAATTAGATGACCAGGAAACCGCACTTGGGAGCATAATAAATGGCACTTGCCAGGTTTTAACTTTAATCTGGTGGTCCTAAGGTGTTGGAATACTAGCTGCAAATTCGTGAGGTGTTCTTCAAAACTCTTTCCATGAACAATAATGTCGTCGAAGTAAACAAGACAACTTCCCGGGATCAGTTTATCTAGTGCCTTCTGCATCACGCGCTGGAAGGTCGCGGGAGCATTCGTTAGCCCAAACAGAAT